CACGATTTACCTCTTTAGTCCAAGTATCACATTCTGAGAATTGAGCTGCAACCTGACCAAGCCTAAGCTATCCTTGCTGAGTTGCAGTGCCCAGAATTTTAGTAATAACAAAAATTTCCTCCCTTTGTATTCCAGTTTCTTTTTGTTAAATGCTAGCATTCCAATGGCCTTTTGTTTTTTTTAAAAAACACATTTCCAAGAACTGGTTAATGATTGTACAAGGAACCACAATTATCATTGTTCTTACACAGATTCTGATTTCTCAGCATTTAGAATTTTGTTCACCTTTCTTCCAGTATGAAGCAGATTACCTCATAAATCCAGTTTGAATTCATGGGTCACTTAATATATCAATGCACCTTTGAAATTATCAGCCCTCATATACATTATTGACTCTACCACCTTGGAGTTGTCAGGGCTTGGCCTCTTACTCCTTTCATCTAGATCATTTATAAAGATAATGCAAAATAGAGCATCTTGTACAGATTCTGGAGAAGCAGCATATCAGAAATGCACTCTGCATCTATAACCTCCTACCTCAAAACAAGCCCCTAACCAATTTTCTACCTATTCCATTAATTCCCATTTTCATTTGCAGTCTATGCAATGGATCCTTATGGAATGCTTTCTTCAAGACTAATTCTGGGGTACAGCCTTGAGAATAGCAATCACACTTACAACACTCACCTTTATCATGGAATAATTCAGACAACCACTTCCAGAAGTCACATGCACACAATTTCAGAAATGCAAAAAAAGTAGCTGTCCAATTAGTCCTGCTCTTTCAGAAGCTTTGCTACCTAGGTACCTCACTGACAAATTAGGCACTGAAACGCACAGAGGCATCCTTATCAAGTAGACACAATCTATTCCCAAGACATCAATTCCATCTTTCTATCTAGCAACTGAGAGAGGCTGAACCAAGCTGTTTGCAACTTTAGTGTCATATCTGAGCCCAAAGTGAGAGTCCAAGCACATATCCACACCATCACAGACTTCCTAGAGTCATACAGCATGGAAACAGGCCAACCTTGTTTCTATCAACCAACTAACAAAATCACACTAGTCCCATTTATCTGCACTTGGGCCATTGCCTGTGTACTGGCATTTTAAATACTCAGAGATGCTTTTCAAATGTTGAAAGCGTATCTGTCCCCACCAGGCAGCACTTCCTCAATTTCCATTCCGACAACACTGGTGGATATTCTATCAACCATCTAGAGTTCCCTCCCTGTTTCTCTCTTTCTTAAGATAATCTTTAAAACAACCTCTTTGGTCACCTGTCTTGATATCTTTCTGATCAGATTTTACTCAACACTACCCCTGCAAATGCCCAGGAGTGTCCCTCTGCACAAAAGGCGTTATGTAAATGCAAGTTGTTGATCCTACCATCTCAAGAGGCACTGCACACACTGTTAGTTAAAGTTGCTCTTCACATGAAACAGGAGCAGGAGTAGACCATCAAGCTCCTTCAGACTGCTCTACCAATCAGAGTCAGAGTCATACAGCATGGAAACAGATCCTTCGGTCCAACTAGTCCATGCTGACCATGTTCCCAAATCAAACTAGTCCCACTTCTCTGCATTTGGCCCATATTGCTCCAAACCTTTCCCATTCATGTACTTATCCAAATGTCTTTTAAAATGTTGTAACTGTAACTACACGCACCACTTCTTCTGGCAGTTCACATATGAACCACTGTGTAAAAAAAGCTGCCCCTCATGTCCTTTCTAAATCTTTCTCCTCTCACATTAAAAATATACTCCCTAGTTTTTAAAACTCCCCTGCCCCGGGGAAAAGGCCCTTTCTATTCACCTTATCTATGCCGCTCATGATACACCCCTCTAAGGTCACCTTTCAACCTCCTATGGTCCAGTGAAAAAAGTCCCAGCCAATCTTTATAACTCAAACCTTCTGTTCCTGGCAACATCTGCGAAATCTTTTCTGAGCCCTCTCCAATTTAATAATACCCTTGCTATAGCAGGGCAACCAGAACTGTACACCATACTCCAGAAAGGCAACACCAACATCCTGTACAACCTTCACATAACATCCTAACTCCTTTACGCAAGGGTCCGAGCAATGAAGGCAAGCATGCTAAACGCCTTAACCACCTTGTCTACGTGAGACATAAATTTCAAAGAATTATGTACTTGAACCCTTAGGTCTGTCTGTTCTGGAGCATGCAGTGACAGGAAACATTACAGGGAACACAAGCCAACTTGGTCTGTCCTGCCGGTGGTTTGGGACATACCCGGAATGGTGTTGGTGTCATTAGAGACGTTGTCTATCAGGTTTGATTCCGTGAGTATGACTATGTCAGGGGGGCTGTTGTTTGATTAGTCTGAGACAGCTCTCCTAAATTTGGCACAAGCCCCAAATGTTGATAAGAAAGACTCTGCAGGGTTGGTGGGATTATATTTGCCTAACTCATTTCAGGTATCTTAGTTGATGCCAGGTGATCAATCTAGTTTAATTACTTTTTTTTTCCCTTCTCTAGAGGTTCATATAATTGAGTGGTGGAGTAGGCGGTCAGAGGGTCAATCACATTGCCGCAAGTCTGGAGTCACATGTAGGCCAGGACAGCAGGATTTGTAAGGTCAGCTGTTTTACTTTGCTCAAGGACATTAGTGAACCAGATGTTTTCCTACAACAAAGGTTTAATGGTCATCATTAGGCTTTTAATTGCATATGTCGTCTGAATTCAAATTCCACCGTCTGCTGTGCTGGGATGTCAACCAGTGTCCCAGAGTATCATCTGACTCTCTGGATTTCTAATCCAGCAAAATACCACCATGCCCTCATGAAGATTTCTGGGCTGCACAAGGGCACAAAGCTAATTTCCTCTCACTTTGAACTGGAAATATTTGACACCATGCTCTTCTATGTAATATTATCTTCTTGAATTATGTTGTGAGGCAGAGTTTGCAACTTTTTAGTAATCCTACTGCGTTTACAACCTCCAACTCTAATTGCAGGCATGCCTTGTGCTGCATATGTTGGAATAATGCCCACTATATAAAATGTCCATGTATAGGCACATTCTATGGCCCTCTTTGTTGGAGTCCTCCATTTCTCACTGTGCACTAAAAACGGTCATTTGTGAGCAATGTAAATCGCTGACTACCCCTAATTGAAGAACCTGTTCTGTTTCTGATATTTCCCATATATGTTCACTGGAGCCAGGACTAATGGATCCAGCTACAGCAGGGGTTATTGTCAAAATGGTCCTAATGCTACAAGAGGTGCAGAGAAATTATAAGTCGCTATTACCATAAATCTATTGTTGACTAGTGTGGGATCTCACAATCATCAACCACAAATGTATCAAGGCTGTAACAAGTACAATTTGTGACAGATCACTTCACTTCACCTTCTTAACCGGTGATGAGATCAGTGCTAAAGCCCAGGCAGTAGTAACATAGCTGGCATCGCCCAGGTGTAGGGCACTACAGACTGTATACACATTGCGTTGAGATCACCATATTGTAATGTGACTAACTTCATCACCACGAAAGTATTCTATTCCATCAATGTGCAAGTCATTGGTACCACATTCTAGAAGCCTACGCAGCTACACTTGGAGATGTCATGATACCTATATCCTTCCCAATTCTCCAGTTAGTGCTTCATTTCCTAGCCTGAGTACCTCGTATCGATGGTTATGGGAGAAAAAAGGGCTACCCTCTGCTACCATGACGATGACACTGTTATTAAACCCAGAGGCTGAGTGCAGGTACAGTGCGTGAGGTTGTTGGCTTGCTCGCCAAGCTGGCCGGCCGCCGCACCGACGCCAATCAGTAAGGTCATAACCACCTGTACTCCACCTTCTTGCAATATCCTCACATGCCTTTAAACTTCCCCAGGGAATTTGTCACCTGTCTTGTATGTACTCAAGAACAGTGCACCCATAACCATCAAGAGCACAGAAATGTAAGGATTCAGAACCCTTTGAGTGAAGGCATTTCTCCTGATTCCTATGCTGGATAAGCAGCCTCTTTTTGTGAAGCTGCAGCTCCATGTTCTAGAATCCCCAGCCAGAAACAGCACTTTTTCAGTATCTACTCTGTCGAGCCCCTGAAGAAATTTATACTTGATCAACTTGTTGTCTCTAAATTCCAGAGAATACAGGTCTAGAATACTCTGTACATGGGCTGCAACAGTTCCAGATGACAGCCTACCAACACCTCTCCAGGGCAACAAGGTACAGGCAATAAATGCAGGCCTGGTCAGTAACATCTTGTAGAAGATTGAAAATTATCCTCACCACAAATTTGATGTGTTTTCATTGTACTTCCTCTATAGGGCAAGTGCATTCTTCTTGGAGTCTACTTTATCAATGTCACCTCACCCATGCTTCAACCCATCTTTTGCCAAAAATCTCATCTATGCCTTTGGTATTTCAAGTCTTGGCTATTCCAACACTCTCCTGGCCAGTTTCCTGCACTCTACCTTCCGTGAACTGGACGTCATCCAAAAATCTGTTGCAACTGCCCTAAATGGCACCAGGTTCTGTGCAGGCATCATGTCACCCCACCAACCTACACTGGTTCCCAGTTAAGCAACACCTCAAGCTTTATATTTGCATCCTTGTTTTCAAATCCTTTCATTGCTGTGCCCCTTCTTACCTCTAACCCATTTCAGTCCTCCAACTCATTCATACTCCTCTCATTCTGATCCCTTGGATATACTGGATTTGCATGGCTCCACCACTGGTGGCTGTGCCTTCAGCTGCCAAGACTCTAAGCTCTAGAATTCTCTTCATGAATCTCTTCACTTCCTTCCTTTAAAGGAGGCTCCCTAAAATTGCTTCTTTAACCAAGCATCCTGTTATGGAAAAGGTACCAAATTATGTCTTATACCAATCCTGTGAAGACCGTTGCAACATTCTATTATGTTTAAGCTGCTACATAAATGCAAACAGTTGTGTTTTGTAAATAACATCAGTTAGTTAATCACTTCCTCCAAACATTCAACAGGGCTCATGATTCATGACTCACCCATTACAAATCCATGCTGGCTTCCTCCGATTCGATTCTTCTGGTCTGGATACTTAGTTGTTTGTGCTCAATAGTAGAATGCAATAGCGCACCTGAAATCAAAAGAAGGGAAAAGTACATTTGAAAGGTCAGGTTAATTCCGGACTTCAGGAATCTGCAACCACATGTTCATCCGATTCTTACTATATTTTCTTCTCAGTGAATCACGCATAGGATAAAGGGTGGGTTTTACGATTTCTAAATTATGGTGCAGATCTGAAGGAGCTTATTCAGAGTCAGGCTACTTACAAAGGCCCAGCTCACGTTCCCAAGGACATTGGTTGAGCTGTCCAAGTGGTTCTTCTGCTCGCTCACTCACCCTCCCCCCCCACCTCCATTGTCCTGTTCACAGCCCCTTATATTTCCCCATGCATCTTCATACTCATCCATACTCTCTCTGATCAATTGCCCCTACACCCATATGCACAGTCCAGGCAATCAGGATGTTCCTGATTTCTTAGAGGGATCCAGCCCCCAGGGGCTTCCAAGTCCCATTCAATTCAGTCAGAATATTGGGAAAATAAATTTTCTGTAGGCCTGTCAATGACAACCAACATCACAGGTCATGCATACCCAGCCCAATGTCTCAAGTTGAAACAAGTAACTGTGAGATGGATTTCATAGACATGATACTCATGGTAAGAAAATAAATGAACTTTGATCACTAAATTTGATCAGATGAAAATGAGTACTCCGAGTTTCGTATTGCAAATTCAATAATGAAAAACATCACATAATTTGTATATTTGAGAATTGAAAGATTGCAACCCAAGCCTCTTTATTGCAGCCCTTTTCACCTAACAAAGATTTATTTCATATTCAAACAGTCCAGGATTTTACATTTCCCACCCTCAGTAAACCGTTGGCTGATTTACCTTCCCTACTAATTTAAACCAGATTTACTTCCTAGTATTTACCTTTTCCAGCAATGCCACCCAACTTTACTTCACCACTTTCTTCCTAGAACCTTCCATTAATTTGTCACATTATTTACCTGGTATACAATAGGGATGAGAACAACCTTTCTTCGATTAAATATTAGAAGACCAAAGCCATTGTTTTTGGTTGCCGCAAGTATCTCCATTTCACTCCTGACAACTGCCTGAGGTTGAACCAGACAGTTCGTTTCCTGGGCATCCCTCTTGACCTTGAAATAAGTATTAAGCACAGTATACATACAGCCAAGACCGCTTACTTTCTCCTTCATAACCGTGTTTCTGTACTCTGTCTCTTCGAATTGATTATTTCATTTTCGCAATTTAAACATAAAACAAATGAAAAACACTAAAGGGAAACAAATCAAGTTGCTTACCTCCTCAAGCCTGTTCTGTCATACAGTTAGATTACAGGTGATCTATACCTCAAAAATCAATGTTTACATATCATTTACATCAGAAAATTTCTTCAATCTCACTAAAATTTCAACTGATTCATCACCTACACATCTCCAAAAACAAGAGTTTCAAATTCAACTCCCCATTGTGTTAAAGTTGCTTCCTGACTTCACTCATTGCTAACTTCTCCAAGTTTAAAACAAATCCCCCTTGTTCTGGATTCTTTTACCTGGTCAGTGGTTAGCACTGCTGCCTCACAGCACCAGGGACCCAATTTCAATTCCACCCTCGGGCGACTGTCTGTGTGGAGTTTGCACATTCTCGCTGTGTCTGTGTGGGTTTCTTCCGGTGCTCTGGTTTCCTCCCATAGTCCAAAGATGTGCAGGCTAGGTGGATTGGTCATGCTAAATTGCCCGTAGTGTGCAAGGATGTGTAGATTAGGTGGGCTACTGGGGAAATAAGTCTGGGTGAGATCTTCTGACGGTCAGTGTGGACTTGTTGGGCCAAAAGGGCCTGCTTCCACACTGTAGGGATTCTATGATTCTATGATCTGAGGAGACTGTTTGCTGCAAATACCCTGACACTCAAGAACACAAAGCATTTTTGTGTAACCCATACTCAATGCCAGTATCATTTTGGTGAATCCACATGGTATCCCTTCTTCAGCAGGATATTTTTCCTAGCTGAAAACCAAATCCACGATCTCATATGGTCTAACTTGCTAAACTAACTGCTTTCTCACTTTTGTATTTCATCACCCTTCAGATCATGACTTGAATTTTTTATTTGCCCGCTTGATTACTGAATGCATTCTGAAAGTCTCCCCCACTTTGAACACACACGAATCATTTTGGGTAGCTAAATATGCCAGTTGCAGTTTTTCATAACTATCTCATCGCCATTGTTTGTGAACTATAGTATATACTTCCCTTCTTGTTTAAAACTTATGTTCTTTCATGCAAAGAATTATACGATTTTGCTTTTTTTTTTGAATACTTCATTCAATTTTTTATTAAGTAATAAAGCAACTTAGGTCGTCATATTTAGAATCTCATGCAGCTTGCAGAAACAGTGAAGGAGGGCGCCATTTGGACCCATCATCAGCAAAAATGCACAGTTACCTTAGTGCCATTCTCCTGTCTTCTCTGGTAAACCCACACATCCTTCTATTTCAGATTAACATTTATCTCCCTTAAGGATGCTTTGACTGAACCTAGCTCCAGCACACACTCAGGCAGTGTAGTCCAGCCATTAATGACTTGCCATGTAAAAACAAAATTCATTGCATTTTTACATTTTTTTTTAAGCCATTCATTTAAATCTGTGCCCTCATTCGTGATGACACAACAAGTGGAAACTTTCTTCCTATCTACTGTAACCAGACCCCTCATTATTTTGAATACTTCTTCCAAATTTCCTCTCAGCCTCTTATTCTCCAAGAGAAACAGCCCCATCTTTTCCAATCTACCTTCATAGCTAAAGTTCCTCCACCCCAGAACTATTCTTGTGAATCTTTTTTGCTTTCCTTCCTAAAATATGGCATCAGAACTAAATGTAATATTGCAAATAAGGAATGAGTTGCTGGGTAGAGAACAAAGTTTACAGAAGCACTGAAGACAAATATTTAGATGGTAGACACATTTGCTCCAGTACTGGATGTTCTGCATGATAAATCAGAGCCAAGTAAGGGGCATCCAGAGAGGCAGGCATGAGATAGAACTGGGTGTCATGAATACACATACCAACTCTTAAAACACACAGGAGTGGAGGGTAAGTTTAAGTTCAAAAGCCACCAAGACACCTGGGGGGAAAGAGAAACTTCACAGATCACAAGGCTGATCAATCAGATAAGTCACAGCCTTAAGGAGATTGGATAGAATTGGTGAGAAGCTGCTCTCCAACTACAGACTGGTTGTCTCTCGCCAATCAGCTTATCACAGCAAACCACACAAAAAAAAAAGAGAACAAGGTGCAGGTGTCTCGGATTCTCCAGCATCTGCAGCTCCTACTATCTCTGATACAAAAAAGAGAAAATGCCTGTGATCAGAGCATCATAGATGAAGTGAGTGGCAAAAGTGAGCAAGAATGCTGAAGCCCATGGTAGTGAGTGTGAAAGTAGCAGAAAATAATGCCAATGTGGCAGGAAAGAAGATGGTGAAAGGGGTCAAGGCCAGGTCACAGGAGGGCAAGACTGGCAAGGTGGAACCCAGCAGAGGAGGTGGACTGCAAGGCTGGGACTAAGGAACTGACGTAATGAATTCCTTGCAAATTAATGTAAACTCTCTCGCTTAAGGCTGCAAGAGTTCAGGAGCTACTATAATGGGGATAAAAGTCTAGTGCAGCATGTTGTAATGAACACTGTGCCAACTGGATTGTTTCATATTGAACAGTTTTATTTCATATTTACATTTGTGCATTATCAAAAAATGGTTTGCATACTGTGGACTACTAAAAGTGCAGTGATTGTTGGAGGCACAAATTGTGACCTCTTTGGTGCATGGAAAGCACGTTTTCTTAAAGTTTTACCAAAGATTTGTAGCTCAGGTTACGGGGGAGGTTGTTGACTTGCTCACTGAGGTGGCTTGTTTTCATTCAGATGTTTCATCACCATGCTAGGTAACATCATCAGCGAGCCCTCCGCTGAAACAACCTTGTTCTACTCCGCTTGGAATTTATATTGTTTGGTCTGTTATAGTGAGTAGTGTCATTTCCGGTTTTGTTCTAAATGGGTTTGTACATGGGGTCCAATTCTATGTTTCAGAGATAGTAGGAACAGCAGATGCTGGAGAATCTGAGATAACAAGGTGCAGGGCTGGATGAACACAGCAGGCCAAGCAGCATTAGAGGAGCAGGAAGGCTGACGTTTCGGGCCTAGACCCTTCTTCAGAAACGAGGGAGGGGAAGGGGGTTCTGAAATAAATAGGGAGAGAGGGGGAGGCGGATAGAAGGTGGATAAAGGAGAAGATAGGTGGAGTGGAAACAGACAGGTCAAAGAGGTGGGGTGGAGCCGTAAAGGTGAGTGTAGGTGGGGGGGGGGGGGGGGAAGAGGTGGGAAATAGGTCAGTCCGGGGAGGACGGACAGGTCAAGGAGGTGGGATGAGGCTAGTAGGAGGGGATAGGTGGGAGGATGGACAGGTGGGAGGATGGACAGGTTAGGGAGGCAGGGACAAGCTGGGCTGGTTTTGGGATGCAGCAGGGGGAGAGGAGATTTTGAAGCTTGTGAAGTCCACATTGATACCATTGGGCTGCAGGGTTCCCAAGTGAAATACGAGGTGCTGTTCCTGAAACCTTCAGGTGGCATCGTTGTGGCACTGCAGGAGGCCCAGGATGGACATGTCGTCTAAGAAATGGGAGGGGGAGTTGAAATGGTTCGCGACTGGGAGGTGCAGTTGTTTGTTGTCCCACCCACAGTCTCCAATCTCATCGTTCCCCAACCCCGCACCGCCCGTTTCTATCTCCTTGTCAAAATCCACAAACCTGACTGCCCTGGTCGACCCGTCTCCGCCTGCTCCTGCCCCACCGAACTTATCTCCACTTATCTCGACTCCATTTTCTCCCCCTTGGTCCAGCAACTCTCCACCTACGTCCGTGACACCACCCACGCCCTCCACCTCCTCCAAAACTTCCAATTCCCTGGTCCCCATCACCTCTCTTTACCGTGGACGTCCAGTCCCTATACACCCGCATTCCCCACGCAGATGGCCTAAAGGCCCTCCGCTTCTTCCTGTCCCACAGGCCCGACCAGTCCCCCTCCACTGACACCCTCATCCTCACCCTTAACTTCTCTTTCAATTCCTCCCACTTCCTATAAACAAAGGGGGTGGCCATGGGTACCCGCATGGGCCCAAGCTACACCTGCCTCTTTGTAGGTTACGTGGAACAATCTCTCTTCCGTACCTACACCGGCCCTAAACCCCACCTCTTCCTCCGTTACATTGATGACTGTATCGGCACCGCCTTGTGCTCCCACGAGGAGCTCGAACAGTTCATCCACTTCACCAACACCTTCCACCCCAACCTTAAGTTCACCTGGACCATCTCTGATACCTCTCTCTCCCCTTCCATCTCTGGCAACCACCTGGAAACCAATATCCATTTCAAGCCCACCGACTCCCTCAGCTACCTCCTCCCACCCACCTCCCTGCAAAAATGCCATCCCCTATTCCCAATTCCTTCACCTCCGCCACCGCCACATCTGCTCCCAGGATGAGGCATTCCACTCCCAAACATCTCAGATATCCTCGTTTTTCAAGGACAGCAACTTCCCCCCCTCAGTGGTCGAGAACGCCCTCGACCGTGTCTCCCGCAACTCATCCCTCATACCCCCCCCACCCCCAACAATAACAACTAAAACAGAATCCCCCTCGTCCTCACGTACCATCCCACCAACCTCCGGATCCAACACATCATCCTCCGACACTTCCGCCATTTGTAATCCAACCCCATCAAAGACATTTTCCCCTCCCCACCCTTATCTGCTTTCCGGAGGGACCACTCTCTCTGACTCCCTTGTCTGTTTCACACTCCCCTCCAGCCCCACCACACCTGGCACTCTTCCCTGCAACCGCAGGAAGTACTACACCTGCCCCTACACCTATCCCAGGCCCCAAGAAGACCTTCCACATCAAGCAGATGTTCACCTGCACATCTGCTAGTGTGGTATACTGTATCCACTGTTCCAGATGTGGCCTCCTCTACATCAGCGAAAACAAGCGGAGGCCTGGGACTGCTTTGCTGAACACCTACGCTCGGTTCGCACTAAACAACTGCACCTCCCAGTCGCGAACCATTTCAACTCCCCCTCCCATTCCTCAGATGGAATGTCCATCCTGGGCCTCCTGCAGTGCCACAACGATGTCACCTGAAGGTTGCAGGAACAGCACCTCAGATTTTGCTTGGGAACCCTGCAGCCCAATGGTATCAACGTGGACTTCACAAGCTTCAAGATCTCCTCTCCCCCTACCGTATCCCGAAACCAGCCCCGCTTGTCCCCGCCTCCTTAACCTGTCCTTCCTCCCACCTATCCCCTCCTCCCACCTCAAGCCCCACCCCCATCTCCTACCTATTGGCCTCATCCCGCCCCTCGACCTGTCCATCCTCCCTGGACTGACCTATTTCCCCCCACCAACTCCCCACCCACACTCATCTTTACTGGCTCCACTGAAATGTTAAAGGGTTAATATCTGTTCTGCTGACATAAGAAATTAGGTGCTTCGTGGGTGCCCCTGTCTCGCAGACAAAAAGTAGTAATCTAATTATACTCTGCTCTCTGTAAATGTTGAATTAAGGCTAAAAGGAGAAGGAACTACCTCATCTTACACATTGTTTTACTGTTAGATGATTAAGTTACGTGATTATGGGGGAGAAAAAAAAAAAAATTGTATCTTGTATGCATGTCTGACTGTGCTGTAAAAACCTATATAAAGGGAAGACGGTTCCCTTACAAAGGGCATCGCTTGACACGGCTCCGCAAGCCCTACGAAAACTGTTAAGTGATCCTCCAAAGCTTGTACTTGCTTAAATAAACTGTGGCTTTTCACAGAAGTTAGCTTATTGCGTTTGTATCAAGTGTGAAGGAATCTTCTAAAAGGGAACTCAACACCACCCCCGCCTCTTTGACCTGTCTGTCTCCTCTCCACCTATCTTCTCCTTTATCCAACTTCTATTCGCCTCCCCCCCTCCCTATTTATTTCAGAATCCGCTTCCCCTTCCCCATTTCTGAAGAAGGGTCTAGGCCCGAAACGTCTGCTTTCCTGCTCCTCTGATGCTGCTTGGCCTGTTGTGTTCATCCAGGTCTACACCTTGTTGTCTCCAATTCTATGTTTGTTGATTGCATTATGGGTTGAAAACCATGCCTCTAGGAATTCCTGTGCGTGTTTATGTTGACCATTTGACCAACAGGGGGTTCCAAACCTCTGTATACAGCAAAGCAACCCACACTGACTAAATCCTCAACTTCCACAGCAACCACCGCAACGTCCGCAAACAAAGCTGCATTAGGACACTATTTAAATAGGCCACCACTCACTGCAACATTCCAGAACTACACAGGAAAGAGGAAAAGCACCTATATTAAAATCTTCACTGCGAACATATCTGTTCATAACTTCATCCCCAAGTGCCTACCAAATAGACAACAAGTACGCCCTAACACACTGGCCACACTGTAACACATCATGAACATGTCAGAACTGACGAGACTCCTAAAACCACTAGGAATCATGGTAGCACGCATAATCCCACAGCCACTCTATGACAAACACAAGGATTAAAGAGCCCATTCCCACAATATGCAGAACCAACAGTTTACAAAAATACCATGCAACAACTGCCACAAACATTATGTTGTCTGCTAGGAAGGAATCTAGCCATTAAAATACATGAACATCAGCTAGCAGTAAAATGACACGACAAAATTCCTTAATATCAGTACACTAAAGACAATGAAGGCCATCAGTTTAACTGGGACAACGTAACTATCGTAGCCCAAACCAAACAGACACACAATGGAATTCCTAGACGCATGCTTCTCAACCCGTAATGCAATTAACAAACATACAGAATTGGACCCCACATAAAAACCCCATACTAAACAGAAATGACTTGGCCTGCTGTGTTCATCCAGCTCCGCACCTTGTTGTCTCAGAAATGACACTACTCACCATAACAGACCAGACAGTATAAATTCCAAGCGGAGTAAACAACATTGCTTCATCGGAGGCCTCACTGATGATGGCATCTGAACAAGAACAAGCCAGCTCAGCAAGCAAGTCAACAACCTCAGCATGTTTTTTTCATATGTAGCCATGAGTCAGTTTTAAACTGAAAAACATGTTAACTTGCATGTCTTGTGCCAATTTAAATAGCAGCGTCATTGAAGTTGATGCTTGCCATGGGTGTTGTAGCCTTAGGCTAAGTAGAATCATGATGATTGAGAATGTTGATGAATTCTTCTAATTCTGCTTCTGAAAGTCCAGAATGACACGTCAAATCAAATAGAAGCCCTCATTACAAGATAACTGCATAACCTCAGCAAGGATGATAAAGAAATTCTCAAAAACCAAAACATGCTCCCAGAAATCTAAACATACCCCTCTAGAAAATATTAAGCACAACCCTTGGGACTTGACATTTTCAGATGGGGTGGTCAAAGGGAAAGGCAGAAGAAAAATAGAAGGTGACGGGGGAAGAGGATAGAACCATTGAGGGTCACCTGAAGTAATAGTGTGGGAATACAGAAGCGCATTACAGGTGACTGGTTGTCTACGACTTGACAGACCAAAGACAACAGCATGGCTAACCAAACATAAACATACTTGTATTAAGAAATTTAGTACTGACTCAAGTAACAGTAGAAATAGCAGGTACTTACCTAAAAATCAACCAGGGGGTGCATATAATCCTTTCTGATGGACGAATCAACGTGTGAAAAACGTAACAGCTGCAGCAAGGTTGTCACCAGCCCAGGAATGAGGAGAAAAGGTCAAATCTAACCGTCAGATATTAGCCCCAGCTCTTTTTTTTTCGAGAAAAAGAGAAGCACGTTATTATTTCTTCCATTTGCACATAGACTTTACGAGAAGAGGGTTCAAATAAACCGTGAAGGTTCACTTATGTTTCCTTCCCCCGCTTTCGGAACTGATAATAAAAACTTCAAGCCCGAATTGAAATAATGCAACTGTGCAGTCAACCTGAAGGGCTTTCTGATCAGGTAACAACAGACATGGAAACCCTTCCCATCCCCCGATAATCACTGTGAAAGGATAACAGCGGGACGATACCCCTACCTGACAACCGCACTATCGCCCTCCCGACCTGCCTCTGACTGCCGCTCGAGCTCTCAACTGCACTGCGCCCCCTGACGGTTGACTGAATGCTCTTCCAACCAATCATCATCCAGCAGCCCGCCGTCCATTGGTCACCGGCCTGTGAAGACCTCATCCATTCAGCGTGTTGATCCCATCCCTACCTACGCCGCCAAGCCAATGAGACTATGGGGATGACGATTGACAACACCAATATCCAATAGGACTGTAACCCACCCCTGCTCCGTCCCAGTCAATGATGTTGCTGCCGTCTCAATAATGTGCAGCGATGGTGGTAAATTGATCTTGACGCTACTGCAATAGAATTATACCAAAACCGTTTTAAATGATCTCGGCAGATGTTTTCCCACTGATTTATCAGGTTGATGCTAACCAGCGGTTGCAAATGTGATCTGAAAAGACTCATACCGGACTCGAAACATTCACTCTATTTCTCTCTCCACAAATACTACCAGATCTGCTGAGTTTATCCTGCTCATTTTTGTGCTTATTGCAAAAATAATTCACACTGGCTTGTAGTCAGCTGCAGTTAAGCTCACCACACTGCCCCTGCAAGATGCATCGTTTGCTGTTGTTATCATGAAAGAAAAGGGCAGTGCGGAAATTGCAATCATCTGATAAGTTATTAGCTGTTTATCGAATAATAGAAATGCTATCTGCATTATTTCCCCCGTACTCGTTAATACTGGGTGCTGGGTTCACTGACCTCGTGGGTCCACATGGGATTTCAATGACCCACATTGCCAAAGTCTTACTGCCGCTCTGCTTTAACATTGACTACTGTATACTTTTCCAACTAAAAATAGTCTGGATTTTGGAGTGGGACGTACCGTTCCAATATTTGCACTTTCGCAGTCTACACTCAACATGATAGAAGTAAGACCAGGAACCCTTGAGTTTCCTACAAAGACACAGTGGGAGGAAATTGTCCCGAAGTGCCTCTGCTTGGTAAGCCCAATCTCATTGTCAGGTTGGAGATGGTGAGAACCACAGCTAAAATGATTATTTTCCCTGATAGAGATCTCAGCTGTAAATTTTTTTGTAAGGCTAAGTTGATACAGCTGAATGAACCCAAGTATTCTCACTGAAGCCAACTCTTCCAGCAAGTCACTGTGATCAGTCCCCTTGGTCTAAGCACGATATCTGCATTCCAAGTAATCACATCCATTCCCACCTAATGTTGGCACTCGATCTCAAAGAGGATCAGAAACTTACATTTTAGTTTGTTCATGGGATGGGGACATTGCTGACCAGAACTTACTGCCAAACCCTTATGGAGAAGCTGGTAGTGAGGTGCCATCTTGAACCACTGCAGTTCTTGGGGTGTAGGGGCACACACAATGCAATTAGGAAGGGCATTCCAGGATTTTAATGCAGCACAGTACAAGAACAGCAATGTAACTCCAAATCAGGAAGGTATGCGGTTTGGCGGGAACATTGCAGATGGTGGTGTATCCACTAATCTCATGTCCTTGTCCTTATAAAGAGTAGTGGTTACAGGTTTGGAAGGTCCTATCAAAGGAGTTGCTGTCACACATCGTGTAGATGATACACATAGCTGCCACTGTGCATTGGTGGTGAAGGACATGAATGTTGAAGGTAATGGATGGAATGCTAATTGACCAGGTTGGTTTGTTCTGAAAAAAAGAAGTGCTAGAGAAACTCAACAGGTCTAGCATCTCAGGCATCAAGATGTGTCCTTCTCAGGAGCAATAAAAGCAAAGTACTAATGCTGGAGCAAAAACAAAGTTGCTGGAAAAGCTCAGCAGGTCTGGCAGCATCTATGAGGAAAAAAACAGAGTTAACGTTTCAGGTCCGGTGACCATTCCTCAGAATCCGGTTCACCGCAACCGAAACGTTAACTCTGCTTTTTCACTCACAACTGCTGCCAGACCTGTTTTTGTTCCTGATTTACAGTATCCACCCTTCTTTCAGTTTTTATTTATTAATGCTGGAGATCTGAAGTAAAAACAGAAAGCGTGAGAAACTCCAGGAACAAAAACAGAAATTGATGGACAAACTCAACAGGTCTGGCAGCATCCATGGAGAGAAAGCAGAGTTAATGTTTTGAGTCCAGTGACACTTCTTCAGAACAGGACAGAAACTCCAGGTCTGGTCTCGTCTGTGGAGAGAGCAAAGAGAGTTGATGTTTCAATGTGACTCTTCTTCAGAATGCTGGAGTGCTGTGCAACAGAATGCAGGAGATGTCAGAGTTTGGGGGTTGTCATGTAGTAGAGTTCTATTACTCACCTTGTCTGCCTTCATTAGGTCATTAAACATCTTGCAGCACTGCATCCAGCTGCAAGGGATCACATGCCTGCTGCTCACATACTCAGCAAACCTTTACCCATCCATGTTCAGCTTTCCTCACATCCACTACAAACAACATTCTGCCTCCAACTGACTCAAGCATGATCCCAGGGAACAGTCAGAGAACTCAAAAGTGCTGAGTTTGAGGGTTGACGGTTGATGAATAGCATCCTCAACTCTTCCTATTGTCCTCTGTCTTTATTCTGCCTTCGGTAGCAATGCTTCCTGCAGTCATTCTGGACCATTTTAAATCGGGATCCTTCCTTTGCCAAAATTTGGATTGTCTTCATGCCTATGCTCTTGTCAATGGTTGGAAACCAGAAGTGTGATGCTGATTCCAAAGTTGAGGTAAAATAGATAGGTTCTATCTGAAGATTCTATCAGGATTCCTAACTGGCTGCTGGTCATTCTCCTCCTCCAGTGGTAAAAATATCATCCTATCAATCAATCAAAGACAAATTTAAATGGCACTTAGAAAACCGTGAGCTAATATATTAAAGTCAGCACAGATTTCTTAAAATTAAATTATGTATGACCAACTTGACTGAGTTCTTTGCTTAATTAATAAAGACAGTTAAGCTTTCTTCTTATAGAAACTTCAAACCAGACCTTTGACAAAGTACCACAGAAGAAAATTGTTAGCAAAATTAAAGCCTATGAGAATAAAGAGACAGTGACAAAATGGATGCAAAACTGCTAAATGTTCAAAGAGAGTAATGATGAATGGTTATTTCTTAGACAGGACCTGAATATATTGTGGTTTTTCCTCAAGATTAGAATTAAGACAAATGCTCTTTATGGACATATGATAATGACGTGGTAGACACGGCATCATTCAAAGCTTTTCAAAGTAAGGATATTCCAAGCAATTACAACCTGGTTAGTTTAACTTCATGGTGGGGAATATTCTAAAAAAAATTATTCAAGATGGAATTAATAGACACATAAAAACAACTGGGTTGATCAGTAAAAGTCAGTACCAATTTGTAAAGGGGAAATTGTGTATAAATAACTTGCTGGAGTTTTTTGAGGAGGTAACAGAGGGGTTGATGAGGATAACATTGTTGATGTAGTATGCACGGATTTCCAGAAAGTGTTTAGTACAGTAGCACACAACAAACTTGTAAGGAAAGTTGTAGGTCTTGATATAAATAACAGTCAGTAACAGTCAGTAACAATGTTGGCACAAAATTAGCTGAGCAATAGGAAACAGAGAGTAATGGTCAATGAGTATTTTTTGGGCTGGACAAAGATTTGTGGTGGAGTTCCCCAGGGATCAGTACAAGAGACTTTTGCTTTTCCTGACATATATTAATGATCTGGATCTTGGTGTTCATAGGACAAAACCAAAGTTTACAAATGACACAAAAGTTGGAAGAGTTGTAAACTGTGAAGAGGACAATTCCAAAAAAGTATAATTGGCAAGTTGGTGGAATTGGTGGATAGGTGGCAGATTAGATTCAATGCAGAGAGGCATCAGGTACTGCACTTTGGTCAGAAAAACATTGAAAGACAATATAAAACAGGGTTACAATTGTAAAGGGGGTGCAGAAGTAGTAGGACCTAGTATCTGTGCACAGATCATTGAAGATGGCAGGACAGGTGGAGAGCAATTAATAAAGCATCCAGTGTTCTCAGCTTTAATAAACCCCGTTGCTTCATCTGACTTGGCATGGTACAGAATCATCCTCACATTCCATTTCCAAATAATGCTTCAGAATTATTGCTGGTTCAGCCATGTTGCATTTTCACAGAAATTCTGTCTGTCTGCTGTATCTGAGTGTGTTTATTCAGCGTAACTAACTTCCTTTAACCTATTTTCTTGAATAAGAATAAATTAAAATTAATCTTAAATGATCTATATGATTACTGCTTATGAAGTTAACTAAAACTCTCTACCTCATTCTAACCCCAGCTGGAACCTTATGTGGATTTACAGGCTAATGCACGTCAGACCCAAATTTCTCTCCAGCAGTTTCTCCCTATTTACTTTTTTCAATCTCTTTATGATTATGAATATCTCTAGCAAATTTTCTCGAGTATTTCTGTTCTAAGGAGAACAACCCCACCTTCTCCACTTGCAGACTCACGTTCCTGAACCCTTTTAGTAAATCTTTTCCGCACCTTTTCTAAGGATTTGACGTTGGTACTAAAGTTTTTCCCTTCGCACTATTTCTCTATCAATCAAGCCAGGGTTGCATATTTAAACAAAAACAGAAATTGCTGGCGAAATTCAGCAGGTCTGGCAGCATCTGTGGGAAGAAAGTAGAATTAACATTGAGTCTGGTGACTCTTCATCCGAACCATCACAAATTTAAAGCCTTCTAAACTTCGTCTGACATTTTTACAAATATTTGTGTGTGCATACCATTAAGTGTTTCTTTTTCTGCATTACATTCAAAATAGTACTATATAGTTCATAATGCCCTTCCCCATTCTTCACATCAAAATGCATCATTTCACACACCTGCATGATAAATTTCATCTGTCGTGTGTCCATCCAGTTCAGTAATCTCTCTAAATCCACCTGAAATCTGTCACAGCCCTCATACTCATATCCTGCAACTATTTCTAACCAAAAAAATCACCCACTACCCTCTTGAATACCTCAACTGAACTTGTCTCTGCCATGTTTCCAGGCAGTGCATTCCATACGCTAACTATTCGCTGTATGAAACATTTTTTATCATCTCACCCTTGCTTTT